TTCTTGGGTCCGACAAAACGCATGTTGCCTTCGAACTCAGTCAATAAATGCTTAATGTTGCAGTTATAAAACTGCATCTTTCCAAAAATGATAATTCAATGCTTATATTTACATTTTTCATCTCTTGTTTTTTCCACAATTTTGATTTTCTAATTAAAATCTCCACCCTATCCCTCATGTAAGTTGCAGTTAATAGAACAGCCTTTGGAAGAGCTTAATCCGGAAACGAAAATAGTGCACAATGATAACAGATAACAATAATCAAAGTTTTATTTATTTTTTCAATCTAAAATGATAAACTATATTTTTTCAAAAATGAAATACTAATGAATCGTATAACAGACAAAATTTTTCGCTTTTTAAAACAGTAACGGTGTAGTCCCTGTATTTATACGTCAGACAGACTATGGTGATTAGATCTTGTGTGTTATGTGCATTTATCACTTGTAAGTTTATAATGCTTTTTATTAGGGTCAAACAAAGTAAATGTAAATATTCCTGTATTGTAACATTCATGATTCACACCAGATTGTTAATGTTAGATATCTCTTTTAATGTTATAAGTCTGACAAAAAATATGTTGTAAAAATTTTTTTCTTTTTGTAAGTAAATTTAGTATATCAAACAAATATGATACATGGGCAATAAAAGTTAAAAAAAAAAAAAGAAATGCGGAATGAAAAAAGGAATTTTACTGCGCGACTTGATAAAAGGTATTCATTGAATCTTCTACTTTACTTAATTAATTTGTCAATTTTGTTTTGTACTGTATTCCAAATATGTCCTGAGCTTAAAGCAACAGCAGACATAAGGTTGCAGAATACCTGGGTTCTAGAGAATATGGCAATATATGAAGTAAGTCTTGTGGGATTTTGTTAAGGTGTCTTTACAATGTATCGTTTAGACATATTCCGGACTCATGTCCAATGAGCAATGAAATATCATTTTCGTGCCAGCATCTAGGTACCGCGATACGGAACCTCTGTTTTATACGGTCTCAACTGAAGGATTAATCTGCAGGTCCAACAGTAGGATTTGAACCAGCGACGTAATTAAAACCAACCCCTTACACTCCGCGACTCTAGAACAGACGCTCTTCCACTGCGCTAAACGTTCGAGCTGTTGCGATAAGTTAAAGTGCCAAAACCCAGCGTTAAAGTTATATATCTTTCAGGATGTCGTCGTTCCCACAATAGCTCTGGGAAGTACAGACAAATTGGAGACCGTGCATTAGCCAAATGTATGTCATATTTAAGCTAAGGCTTGGGTTGTGTACAATACCTTCTACATGTAATCATATCAGTTTAGAAACCAGGAACAATTAATTTAATATTAGGACATTATGAATTAAGAGTTAAATATTTTCAGGAGAATATTTCTTCTTGCTTTAAAGTGCAGACCCGGAATAAGGAAGTTACTTGACCAATATACGTACAGTGTATGACTGTGAACTAAAGCAATTTATTTTACCGCTTATAGTTTAAAACCTTGATTATTAAATGTGGTTTTGAAATCTCATCTTTGATTTTCAAAAAAGTATATAAAAAAAGGTCCTCCAGCAAAATATCAGGCACTGGACTGACAAACATTTGCCCGAGAGAAAACAAGCAAGTAACAGCAATAGTTAGGAACAGTTAAACATACTATGTTGTATTCCCTAACCAACAGTGTATAACATATACAACTTGTCAAAACAATTAGAAAATAATATTTATAATGAAGAAATCAGCAATTCATTTTGTCAATTATTTTAAATTTTTTAAGTATTAGCAATTTTCATTATTTTTCTCCGTCCTTTTATATTACGTAATTATTTTTACAACTTGTACTTTAATGACAACAAAATCGTCACAGTGGGTGCTCCAAGAATCATTCTGTAAAAAAGTTTAACATGGAAATTTATATCAATTTATTTTCCCAAAATAAACTGCTCATCATTTATAACATCAATATGAATACTAATATATATATATATATATATATATCCTTAAAAAGTTCAAATCAAAGTTTGTATAAATTTTGGTCCTCACCATTGGGGTATGGTTGCAATAACGTCAGAGCTAATAAGGGACCTTTTTTAGAAGTTTAGAAGTCGATGGTGTCTATTGTTCCATATTTTGTGAAAAATATTGATAATTTTTAGGGTAAACAATAAACTTTCCTTCAAAATCAGACTGTGCATAAAAAATTCAGACAAAGTACAATAAAGGAGGCAACAAGGAAAATATGATTCAATATTTTTAAAAAATATTCATCTTCATCTGTAGTATGTTTAACTCCTTTAGATAAAATGCATGAAATACATACAAATTTCACGGATCCTGATGTTGATTGCAGCAAACTAGACGCCATTACTTTGATGTCCGATTTTCCATACAAATTCTTTACCTTATTTAACACAACGAGCATCGCCAGCAGCCTCATTACTACAGTTTAAGGGCCCGAAAAAGTTTTTTTAATGCTTTCTTTTTTGTATGCCAATAAACATCTACAATGGAAGTTTTGTTGATGATGGAACCCTTAATTAGCTTCTAAATTCATCCTCGCATGAGTCTTTATCTTATACTTTTGAGCATGCTCTGACTACTATCAAATTTAAAGTGAGACATGTTACTGTAAAAGAAAATCTATAAGTATATCTATTTATTTTAAAGGTCCAAGTAATATACAGTGAAACTTAAAGAAGAAAATAAGCTGTTTAGATAACTCACAATGATCAACCATATTTCAATGTGTTTATCTCGATGTAAACGATTGATATCTTTCTTGATATCAGCTTATGTGCCTTGTCGCAAAATGAAGGGTTGTCTTTCTACACAAAAGATAACCAACTTGCCAGCAGACCGCTTAGAACCAAGACCGCCTTTTTCGAATGTTTGGGTGGACGGATTTGGGCCTTACCAAGTACTGACCCGAAAGACTCGCGTGGCAGTTCGAATTCTAAGCATTGGGGAATTTTTTTTACATGTCTGGTGACCAGTACTATTCATATTAAGCTTGTCAACTCTGTGAGTTTAGCTGCCTTCAAAACGCGCTATTAACGCTTATTTGCTTAGCGTGATGCAGTAAAGATTTTTCGGTCCGAAAGAGACACGAATTTTATTTGGGCCTTAGATGATCTAGCGGTTGACTGTGTAAATGTTGAAGAGATCCATGCAAAGATCCCTTATCTGCTAATATCATCCAACTCGAAGTGGATATTCAACCCACCATATTCTGCATATTTTGATGGAGCAATGGAACGACTGACTGGGGTGGCAAAGAAGATTCTTTACTCGATGCCGTCTTACCAGCATAACTTGACTCATGATCTGTTGAACACTCTAATGGCTGAAGTATCAGCCATTGTTAATGCCCGACCTCTGAATTCCGTATCGTTTGATCCGGATAACCCCACCATACTATCACCATCGCTATTACTCACGCAGAAGTCTCACAAGTATGATGTTGGATACTACATGTATTGGGTCAATCAGTTCAAAGGACATTCTGAAGAGCGAGTGGAAACGCGTACAGGGTTTAGCTAATACTTTCTTGTCTCGCCTGAAATGTGAATATCTTCAACCACGTCGGAAATAGAAATCTGATAAACCCTATGTCAGCGAATGTGACAAAGTTCTTTTCAACGATCCAAACTGTGCTAGAAATCAATGGCCTTTGTCAATCGTAGTGAAAACATTTCCAAGTGAGGACAACTGCTTCGTAAGGTTCAAGTGAATACTGTGAAAGATGGAAAAAGAGAGGGTGTGCATAGGCATTGCCTGTTGCCCAATCCTTATTGAAATACTCAACACAATATGTTTAAAGTAAAAATATCTTTGAATATTAGATCAGTAACAGAGATTGTACATCGTGTGTCTTTGTATTGACAATATTCATTTGATATAGAGAATGTATATTTAGTGAAACTGACACTTTGTTTAAGATTTTTTGCACTGATTTTTATTTACATTCAGACGGGGAGTGTGGTGCTTTTCATACGAATAATTTTGGGTCGAATTAACATGTACCTGACAAAAAGGTTTGTTTAATATTTCCATCCAGGTGGTAAAACATTTTCAAGCATTGTCATGTGAAATTTGGCCTACTACAGCGTAAGTTTTTACTTTGTTTATATATTTTTGCATCAGATTTAGTCTGTTGTGAATGCTTATTAGCATCAGGTAAATGAACTTATTGTTAACTATGCCTAATAAAACTGAGATTGTTGGAACATGCTGGAATTCACATTATTTCATGTACGTTATATGCAAATATTTTGCTTTCGTGATAAATTGATAAAGCGAATTTCTGTGTATGTGTACTGTTTATGGGTGTTTCATACATACGCAGTATTTTTTATCGTGCAGTATTATATAAATATATAGCTGAATTGTGTAAATGACAGTGTTTATTAAGATTCTTTGTAAAAATTCCTATGATTGTTTTTCATTAATTTGTAGCCCTTTACCACCTTAACATGAACACAAATTCAATACAGTTTACGAATCCATATGTAAAATTCATTGTTTTATGGTTAACTGGCTGTGACGTCCACGACTATACCATATATTTAGCTGAAATTGTTCCATAATAATCTTTCGTATAAAAACAACTATATATATTAATAACAACCCATGTCTGCTTAGATTTTTAAAATAACAACATGACAATATAAGATTTCAATCTGATCTTTGTTACACTTCAAAATTGTGAATAGTCGTCTGTACTGCCAGCAGTGATTTAAATTAAAATTTTTGTTAGCTTCATATCAGATGTCATGGTAAGCGTTTCAACATAGTTTAAAAAACAATGTTTTTGTAGGACATGTGCACATGCGGAATCCAGAGTTTAAAAATTATGCTTTGATAAACTGTGGCTGGGAATTTCGTTCAATATTTGGTAGATAGAAAAGAAAAAAAAACTTGTGTAAATTGACACGAGTTGTTTCCTTCTCCAAATAGGAAAAAAATAAAGGAAATTGGAATACTGCATCTGTGCATATAGTGTGCAATTTTCATACAACTTGATTACGTTGGCTCTTTAGTATTTTTTTTTCAAAATGGAGAGTGTCGTTGCAAACTTTTCTTTAAGACTTTACAACGTTTTGTCGGAAGGGAATGACAATTTGATTTTGTCTCCATACAGTGTGACGATTGCCTTAATGTTAACTATGCTGGGCACCAAAGGTGAGTCTGAGGCTCAAATTAAACAAGTTTTGGGTCTCTCCGGAATTCCTGATCCACACAAGGCGTACAAGGACCTACATTTTACCCTCACGGGTAAATATAAAGAAGGGACTGAGCTAGCCATTGCAAACCGAATTTATTCCAAACTTGGACTGCATATCAGAGAGTCTTACAAACAAAAATCTATCGAGGTTTATAATAGCGAGTTGGAACTGTTAGATTTTGTTGGAAATCCCGAGGGATCAAGATCAATAATTAACACGTGGGTTGAAGAACAGACTAATAATAAAATCAAGGATCTGATTCCACCAGGTGTTATTAATAATCTGACCGTGGCTGTACTGGCAAATGCTATTTACTTTAAAGGCGATTGGGAAAATCCCTTTAAGTCATCGGAAACAGAACGTGAAAAATTTTACATTTCTGAGATCGAAACGGAAATGATTGATATGATGCACATGGGAGAGAAGAAATGGCTAATAAGTGTTTCTGAGTCCCTCGACTGCAAAGTGTTGAATCTTCCTTACAAAGGAGAGGAACTGAGTATGCTTATATTTCTTCCAAATAAAATAGATGGGTTGTCTGAGGTAGAATCCAACCTTTCTCCTGAAATTCTTTATGAAATCACACAAAAATTGTATTACAAAGGTGTTATTGTCACTATTCCAAAATTTAAACTGGAGAGTTCGTTTGAGATTGTCAATGTTCTTGCCGGAATGGGTATTACCGACATTTTCTCCAAATATAAATCCGACTTCAGCGCCATGATGGATAATCCGCCAGAGGAAACGTATGTTTCTGGTGCAATTCACAAAGCATTTGTTGAAGTTAACGAAGAAGGCACGGAAGCCGCAGCGGTAATGGCTCTTACGGTTTCAGCAACCTGCTATGTAGTTCCGGATCCGCCAGTGATATTTAAGGCTGATCACCCCTTTTTGTTCCTTATCAGAGAAAATTCTACCGGAACTGTGTTGTTCATTGGTCGTTTTACAAAACCAACTTGAATAATCAATTTATTTTTACTTTGTCTTATAATAAAACGACTGTGAATAATATTTAAGTGTATAGAAAGTGTTTCAATTGCATAAATTCTTGCACCATTAAATCTATATAACATGTTTCTTAAATTTGGTCTAATATATCTCTGCATTTTTAACCGTGTAATTAGATCAAAATGTAACATATTTTTATTCCAAAAAAATTCAAATAGTGCGTTATGTAAATAATTTTTGCTGAACATATACATATAATAAAAATAAAGCAACATATAAATTAAATAAAAACAAATGTTTCAAAAGGTAAAAATTAGTTTTCGGAAAGAAAATGAACACAACCACAAATGAAATCTTAAAACTACATCCAGTGAAGGCAAATGAGTGCTTAAAACTATATAGGACTGCCATCATTCCCTGAATGTAGATATTTGGTCAGCTTTTGCAGAATCTGTGGATGTGATTGTCTTTCGGAAGTTATGTCAATCCATTTTGTCAAATGCATACCCAATTGAGGTTTTATATGGCAATTCGATGGCCATGGCAGAAACAGGCTGCTGTGGCTTTCCAAGAATGCGATTTTCAAAAAAGCTGTATATGGCTTTAACCATTTTTTTTATTGAAAGACATGTACTTGTTCAGATTAGGGATGTTGCAAAATTGGAAAGACATACAGGTAGAACAGAACATCGTTAGAATACCGTTTACCATCAAAGTCTTAAGAATGCTAACCAAGTCAGTCTTACTACTCCAACGTAGAGTAAGGTCGTAATGGCAGGTAAAATGAGTTAAAACTTAAATCTGAAAACGAATTGTGAATACGCATATGCAATTTTTTTTTCTGTCTAGTATATCTGCACTGGGTTTTTAAACTCTTTGCTTTTGTTACACCTGACTGCATTTACCTGCTACCTGATGCATATATATGTAGAACATGTAATCGTTTATTTGAAATTTCCTCTTTGTTTATTTTTATTCTGTTGAAGGTGTTTTTGTGAGTTTTTTTTACTTTGCATTGGAGTAATGAATGAACTAGTGTAACTGATATCGAATAACTTCTGTAATTTCATGCTATACAGACGCATACAAATGTCATTTTTAGATAGAGACGACTGTTCAGGTAAATCTGTGAAGCAAAATAAATTGGACTCTGAACAAAACTGAAGTTTATATAGGGTTGACAAATAACAATGTAATTTTGATAAGCTTATATGGCGGGAAGTAACCCCCTATTTTATTTGCAAATGTATTCTGCATTGAGCATCAAATAATATTAAGAAGCTTTAAAATAAATATTACTAAATGAAAAAAAAAATATTTAAAAATTTATTTGATATAGTTTAGAATACATTTTTTTTTGAAAAATGAATAGAAATGCTTGAAAATTTATTTTTCAAATAAAACAAAATTTGAATTCAAATGAATTAAGATTTATTTGTATTATTTGTTTAATTTTACGAAAAAAAAATTATGCAGAACATGATGAAAATTCTAAAAGCTTGATTTACAGCCAAATTTTTCAGAATCATAGCATTAAATAAATGCTATTGATCTATTTTTTTTATCATTACATTAAACCAAAACAGCAAAAAACTGAAAGAGTTTGGTAAATGTAAACACCGCTCTATGCAAAATATATATACGCATAAGACATACTTTTCCTGCAAAACTTAACTGAACCATAAAAAGTTATCATTTAAACCTATACATCATAGATCTGAAAAGCTTACACCATGAGATGACAAAGTGTCCGTTAGTCAGTCAGATTTGGGTGTTTTACTGACTATAAACGACAAAGGCCACCTAACAATATAACGGTATAATAAATAATAAGGCTATTAAAAAATAATTCTCCCGACCGACTGTCAAAAATGACCCCTCATAATTTTTTTTTTGACCTCCAGGAAACGATATTCTAATTTTCAAATCTGTCTTTTATTCTGTCAAAATGCATATTTAATTTTTTTAAAGAAAAAATATTATTTACCGACCCGATTTTTTAAACTTGAGTCGGAGAGAGCAAGGAAACATCATTTTTAAAGAGGATCTCTGCTACTTACTTTCTAAATTCTCTTTTTTGTATTAAAATGCTGCTATCAACTGCATTTAGTGTTAACCAACCCCTACTTGATCGATGCTGAAGAAAACGCACCAGGTGCGATCAATTTCAGACCAAGGCATAAACGTTGATGTCAGAGTAATTTCAACCAACTCGAATTATTTCTCACCTCTGGAATTTCCGGACGTCTGTGTTAAATGCTTTGATTGCTGATTTGAATTGTTTGTAAAGATTTTATTTTAAATATTTTTTTTATTTATGTACTTGTATTTTTTTTTTAGTTATTGAGATTGGTGCTGCTCTTTTTCATCCTTTTCATTATCTGTTAGCAATTCTTCCTAATCAACTGGTCTTAGTTTTTGTTTTTTGAAGATAGATGTCAATATTATTTGATACAAATGATCACTATACAAATATACGTTATGATAAAATATTTGTTTTTTTTATATCGATGTTTATATGGTTACAAATCAGGATTTGTTTCAAAAAATTATTTAAAACGCTATTATTCTTAAAGCTGACTCTGATTTCAATATGACAAAAGAATAGTTCTGTATATCGTATTTTAATTTATAACAAAATGTGTTTGTGAAACACTATGCGCCCGGCGGCAACAAAGTTAAAAAACATATTTTTAGCATATAGGTCACAGTCAAGGTCACAAGGTCATTGATCTTGGTGTCATTTAAAAGAACTTAATTAGTGGAGTATGCATACAAAATATGAAGTCTCTATCTTTCATTGTTCAAAAGTTATGGTGAATGTTCAAAAAAAGCTATTTTTAGCATATAGGTCACAGTCAAGGTCACAAGGTCATTGACCTTTATGTCATTTGAAAGGACTTCATCAGTGGAGTATGCATACCAAATATGAAGTCTCTATCTTTTATGGTTCAAAAGTTATAGCGAAAGTTAAAGTTGGCAGAAAAAAACTATTTTTAGCATATAGGTCACAGTCAAGGTCACAAGGTCATTGACCTTGGTGTCATTTGAAAGAACTTACTTAGTGGAGTATGCATGTTAAATATGAAGTCTCAACCATTCATGCTTCAAAAGTTATGGCGAAGGTTAAAATTTGCAGACAAACAGATAAACAGACAAACAGACAGACAAACAGACAGACAGGACAAAAACAATATACGCCTCGGATCTTTCGATCCGGGCGCATAAAAATTCGTGATTACTAGAAATACGAATCTCTGTAAAAGTCTTCCATCAGCTTCTCCTTCAACATTTTGCGTACACATTCATTAAAACTATTTGACATTCTATTACATATCCCCTTTCGGCTCTGCAAAGGGTATCATATAGCATTTTCCTTCGAGCCAGCGAAGCGAATCTCATTTTTAAAGAAGTTAAAAATATCTTTATGACGTATGTATTACCTGAATACCTGTAGTATATAAGGCACAACTCCACGTGCCAAATCATTCTTTTTCTTTTTCTTTGAGCGAGCGACAAGTAGTCACCTGTAACACAGGTGGTGTTCGATTATCAAAAATCTGTTTAACTACGAACGTTGTTCAAGTTTATTTGGGGGGTTTATGCTGTAAAACAGCAATATTTACTTATATTTACTTATTTCCTGTTTTTGTAAGTCAGGTAAGTTTTGCTTTGTTAAATTTTTATTAAATTTTTGCCGTGTTCTCGGAAATGGCGTCCGATAATGAGGACATGTTGTCTCTTAGGGACAGCGATACTGAGAAATTCTCAGATATTGAGGAATTATTTGGCAATAAAGTTGCTACCAGAAGTTCGGCTAGTAATCATGGTAATGCCACAGATGACAGGAAAACTATGAGGGGAGTGAAGCGTAAAGCGCCGACCTCAGGTACGGTAGATAAAACAAGTGCAAAAACAAAGAAATCTAAGAAACAGGTAAGCACAGATACAAACCCTCAAATAGTTCATGACATCAATTTCAATGATTTGAAAACTCAGTTGGGGATTGATAAAATACTTGAGTCGATTTCATTATTGTCAAATCAAATGGCCGAAAATACGGCGCGCAGTTCTGGTCATAATAATGTTTCAGAATCTATGGAACGCAATGTCAGCAACAATAAACAGATTCAATCTTGCACTGTAACACAGGCAGATGTATACAATAAAAGTAACAAACCTGTAAAACAGTTTGTGTCTGTTCCAGATTATGATCAAAACAGTGTAGATTATAATGTGTATGATGGGCCAAATGAGTTTGATTTTGATCTGCGTTATTTAGATAGCCCAGAGCCCTCACCTTCAATCCCAGGTATTAATCCAAATGATGCCTTTAAAGATGTGTTTGATAGTAAAGCTTTGCAAATTACCATAGATAATGATCTGAAAGAGGACAATGATTTGTGGGATATTCCCCAATTAAATTCTACTGAAAAAACTGGTCCTAAAGTTAATGATGGGTTGGCAAAAGCTGTAAATGCAGCAATATCTGTTAAGTCCGACAAAGAAGCTATGACTGAGTTGCAAAAACAATACGCACGTCCAGAGAATTGCAATCTCAAAGTCCCTCGTGTTAATAAAGAAATATGGGATGTTATGGGAAAAAATGCCCATGCAGTTGATTTAAACTTACAGATAATTCAGAAGTCTATTGCAACAGGGTTAATTTCTCTTGTTCAGATGGCGGAATCTATGATTAGCAAACAAGACACAGAATCAGTTAAAAACAAAAAGATGCTTGGCGATGCCATTAGCATGCTAGGAAACAGTTTTTACAATTGATCTATGAAACGCAGAAATGAAATCAAATCATGTCTGAATCCAAGGTACAAGAAAATTGTTTCCGCTGAAATTCCAGTGACTGATCAACTTTTTGGGGACAATTGTATGTCAAAACTGAAAGAAATGGGGGACACAAATAAACATCCCATTGGTATTAAATCCCCATTCTGGGATTCAAAACCCAAAAATAGTTTGCCGTTTACAAAAAACTACAGCAATCAAAATTACTC